ATGCATGTTTGTTTTTGGCCTCTAAGTCAATAATTTTGCTTTGTTCACATGTATGTGCTTTCCTAAGTATCACATATCAACATGCATGTAATTTATGACAAACCAGAGGCAATCGTACCATTGTAGTGGGAGTGTAGAGTCTGTGTACACTGTGCTAATGGGAATTTTTTGATCTGAATGTAATTAGCCTAATATACTGCAAACTATATCAGCAATGTGTGTTAATATTTTAAAATTCCTATTTTGTGTTTTATAGTTTTACTTTTATTTTACACAAAATAGAGGTATTTGCTTATTACATGTGCAAGGTTTACTTCCTACTTAGTACATCACAGTAACTAGGCTGTATGCTGGCCATGTTTTATACTGGAAGCCATATGCCCAAGAAGGGTAATATCTGCTCAATTTTAAATGAATTCACAGAATTATAGGACCTGCGACAATATTCTCCTAAGGTTAACAGCACATGTGTGGTCTTTGACTTTTTCTTCACTGATCCTACGGAGATTTTCCAGAAAGTTGGAAAATTTTCTTGTGAGGTAGCGGGTATATTTAAACACACCTGTTATTACCTTCTAAGCTATGAGCCACATCCAGATTATTACAAGCAATGCTTGGAAACTGGACAGGTCACCTCTTTATTAGGTTATTTATTGGCAAGTTTGCTGTTCTTTTTATCACATTGCCACATTGTGTTGCTCACATCCATTGTAAATGATTAAAATCAATATGACACATTAGGCACGTACAAAGGTTGCATACACATTACTGTTTGGAAATTGTACAGCAAGTCGATGTGTGTACGCTAGAAATTCACAGTCCTTTCCCTTTATAACTGCCCTTCTTATCTTACTAAGAAAATAATAGCCCTTGTCAAATGTCAAGTTGCGCATTCATATAATTTATGAGCTACTCATTTACTTATTTAATTGGGATAATACAACTGTACACATTCTAAAGTACTTGTTTATTTCTTCCTCTCTCCTTTCCAGGCTTATGGCATTGTTTTTATTCGAAAGATCAAGCACAGACACACTCTTGCCAAGAACTATTTTTCACAGATTCCAGAGATGGCACCATTTCTTCATCGGGAGAAATCGAATCAGATGCCTGCAGTTAATGATCTGGTTATTAGTAAACCTATTACTGCTGCTTTTCAAAACTAGACTATTTTCTGCTTACTTCAGTATGTTTGTCTTTTCCGTTAAGTGCCTTTATTTTTTCCCTGCTGGGTAATTCAATGATAGAACATTTTCTGATTCCAGCTATGCTCAGTACAGTTCTCTGGATCCTGTATCCCTCACCCCCAGACATAGAGCTGTAATTGTAACATTACCAAACTTAATATAAAAAGTTAAATGAAATTAAAAAAAGTCAAGATGTGTATTTCCATTTCAGATAACACTACTCAAAGCATTATTTTGATGAATTACTACTGACTTAGCCAAGTGTTGATATCCATTATTTAATGCAGCATTTCTCAACCTCTTTTCAGTCATGGCACCCTTTGAATGTATGCAAAACCCCGAGGCACCCCAGTCTACATTGTAAAAACGCTAATGTAAATATGTAGAAAATGGCATGTGGTCTTGCCCTCCCCCAAATCAATATCACACCCTTATCCTAGATAGGGTTATGGTATAGATATTATACCAGAGGAGAAACAGTACAGGGGAGGCTTCTTCAGTTAATGATCACTATAATAGCCAATTACAGACTATGTGATCAGGAGCCAGTCCTGCCGGTTCACAATCATTAGTACATGATGCGGAGCTGTTGGGGGTGCACTATGGAGAGTGCTACCAGCAAAAACACATGTATGCGAATATGCGGCAGCATGCAAGAAGACCCACCACTCAGCAGGATGGGGTTGAATTGAACCAGAGCTTATCTAAAAAGGGTCTAACTTAACAACAGTACTGATGTACCATGTGGTACCTTCAAATATCTGTGTTAGTCTTCAAATCCATCTCTGTGTCCTTGTGGAGTCCCTTTTAAATTGTAGGTAAATTATACTAGGTCAAACAAACAGGTATTTGATTATTCTGAAAGTCAAGAGTAAGCATGATCACTTCTTGGTGATCATTCATCCATGTCATTTGAATGTCAAATGTCAAAGTCTCTACTGTCCAAGACTCTGGTATCCAACAGTTAATTGATAGTAGTTTAGTGCTAGTTGGTGGTGGGGAAGATGATGTAAGGGGCTGCACAAGGATATGTTGCTACCTCAGTTCAAACTGTTTAAATTGGAACAATTTAATGTGTTTCCCGATCATGTCATCATCAAGTGCAGACTTGAGATTACAATGAAAAAATTAGAGACTTGGGCCTACAGACAAACACCTGCAGTGTTCATCTGGAGCTTCATATATTTAACCAGTTGACATCCGCGGTGTTAAACGCCCTTCCCATCCAGGCCATTTTTCAGTATTCAGCGCTGCGGTACTTTAACTGACATTTATTATAATTGTCAAATACAGTTGCATTACTAAAAATATGAATATATTTAAAAAATAAAACAAAAATGTAAACATTTCTTTTTTTAAACAGTATAATAAATAAAACACTTGTAAATCCTTTAAAAAAACCTAAAAATGATTTAGGTATGCAAATTGCTGAATGTTGGAGGTTATTCAGCCAGGAAATGAAGGTGGGCTTAAGGTAGCTGTTGCAGCTTCAATGGGTTATATTGTAGAGATGCAGGTTTGCAGGGAATTGAGCATAATTCATTCCAACACAGGAGAGAATTTGCTACAAGTGTGGGGAAAAAAAGTAAGGCTGAAGTTTAGCTTTAGGCCCCTTTCACATGGACTGATCAGGAGGGGATCGGTGCAATGACCAGACCCCATGTCCGTCTATGGGAAATAGGATCTGTCGGATCTGACACATGTCCATTTACATTAAATTACCCCCAATCCGGCATGATCAGGTCCAGCAAAACGGAACTCTGTTCTGTTTGTTTTTCCGGACCTGGCCGGAGTCGGGGATAAACAGGTGTAATGGATACCTGTCCGTTTAAAACTCGGCTGCCCATAGACTAGCGTCTGGCATCCGATCGGGTTTGCCTGAAAAACTGACAGGCTGACCTGATCGGACCGCCTGTGTAAAAGAGGCCTTAGGTGTCAGGATCCAATTAAGGGACAGACATAGGTTAGATGTCAGGGAAAATGTTTTCAGGACTAAAAGCCCCTCAATAAGACCAAACAGTGCCAGGCTCCCAGTGTTGAAAATAGAAATGGTTAGTTATTTTCAGAATATGTATTGAAGCTATATTATGTGGTTAGTTTATATTTATAACGTGTTCAGCAGAGATTTTTTTTTTTGATGGGCAGCATCCTGTGTAATTATTTAGCAAAAATTTCAGTTAGAAACCTATAATTGACTTATATGCATTCTTCACCAGCATTAGTAATGTAGTAGTTAACCGGCAAACATTTTAAAGGAGGATTAGTTAGCAAAATATACCTGTTTTTTCAAGGAAAGTGGTTCTTCAGAGGTTATAAACTGAAAGCCGAATCAGAGCTACCTTATTTATGGTAGAAACCTATTTACACTAAACAGTGAGAACAGTGACTTGGTCCTAACCAGATACTACAGATAAAACCAGTTTTCCCCTCTAGTTGGGTAGGATATCCATACATGTTCACTCTGTAGTTCACTTCTACTTGCAAACATGCATCTGGTGCTAGTATTTTTGTTCCTGGCCTGTGTCTGCATTTCAGGGGTGACATCTGTAAGTCACGTTCCTGTACTTTTATGGTCATCTGAAAGGTAAGTAATATATATGATTGGATTAAATGTACCATACAGGGAAATGGATATAGATGTAGATATAACTGGCTGGTTTAGGTTTTTAGTCAGTTTAAAAAACATTCATTAATGACACCCATTTTTTTCATTGTTATGTATTTAAACACATAGTTATAGTAATTGAAAGTGTACCCCTATTGAGCAATTTGCATTTGATTAGACAGTACTTCCATTTCAAATTAAACATGTAATCTGGGAAAAATAAGATTTCATGTAGGTACTTATAGAAGTTAGAATTCAGATTACAGTTGCTTATTAGGAAATTATTTGTTTCATATACTGCAGTATTGGGTTATATTTAAACTGCACTTAAGGACAGAGGAACATTCTGAGACTATAAACTAAAGAGAATATTTAATCTCTTGGTACCTTCAAATAATGTTGAGATATTAATACTAAGTATTTCAGCATGTATAAAGGTCACTGCCTTAACCTGCATGTATTAACCAGTGTTTTATGAAGGTCATTGCCTTAACCTGCATGTATTAACCAGTGTTTATGAAGGTCATTGCCTTAACCTGCATGTATTAACCAGTGTTTATGAAGGTCATTGCCTTAACCAGCATGTATTAACCTGTGTTCATAAAGGTCACTGCATTAACCTGCATGTATTAACCTGTGTTTATAAACCACACTGCCTTAACCGGCATGTATTAACCAGTGTTTATAAAGGTCACTGCCTTAACCTGCATGCATTAACCAGTGTTTATAAAGGTCACTGCCCTAACCTGCATGCATTAACCAGTGTTTATAAAGGTCACTGCCCTAACCTGCATGCATTAACCAGTGTTTATAAAGGTCACTGCCTTAACTGCATGTATTAACCAGTGTTATAAATGTCACCGCCTCAACCTGAAATATGTAAAAATATATACAAAAATCTATTAGTGCAGAGTTAGGTCCTATTGTGTTGTAGGAACATGTGCATTCTCCTGCATGTTACTGCAACGCATGGCACTGCTTGCCACTTGCAATGGTGCAATGCTACTTCATTCTGAATGGCACCTCATCAAACCTTGCCGATGTAGCCGCTCTGTACTGCAGCACATGTTGCTACACACTAACATGCATTTGCGGTACAGTGTATGCTGCCAAAAAAGCTGCAGCTCTGATTTCTGGGCCATTGAATTGTGTTACCAGCCCATTCATTTTGAATGGCCTGCCTATTGCAACGCATGTTAATGCACGTGCCTTACCTAGCCCACCTCAACAGTTAGGTGCAAATCTAGCAGGTTGTGTATAAATGGTTGGACCTATATTTGAGCATCAGTTGTGCCAATTGTGCAAGGTTAACACCATATTTTCCTGGAGGATAATAGTATTGACTTCCAGTCACTGGAAACTATTTTAATTGCACATAGAGGTTGTCCAATGTGTTTGAAAATTCTCAGTGGAAGCAGGTGACAATTTTTATTTTCCTATGGAGAAAGGGAAGACTTTTGCATGTGCATTGCATCCTCCCCTCTACCAAAATGGTGGATCCCAACAACTACACCATATCATTAAAGCCAGACAGATGTCTCACCACCTGTTGTTCTCTAGGATGAAATGTCCACTGCACTGAGTATATCTGCATTATTGTACAGGTGCTCAACCTGTAAATTGCGACTTCAAATACAGTCCCATGTACGGTTGCCACCCGTCCCAGATTCACATGGACAGTCCGGGTTTTGAGTCCTGTATGTGCTGTTTCAGGCCAGCTGAAACCCAGACACCAGTGGCGGAACTATCGCCATAGTGACCCAGGCAGCGGCTATGGGGCACAGGGGGGCCCAGCCAGGACCAGGCACATAAGGGTCCCGCTGATGTAGTGCAGACCGCCAGGGTCGCAATGGCATCTCAGGCTGAGAACTGTCACTGGCGGCTGTGAGGAGGTACAGGCCGCTGTCCAGATCATCTGTCAGTGATCTGTGCAGTGGCGCGTTCCTCCTCACAGCTGCTGCTGAGTCAGTGGCAGGCCAGCAGCTGCGGTGGAGGAGGAGGAGGAGAAGGCCGGCGGTGGAGGAGGCTGACAGTGGATTGGGGCTGACAGGTAAGAGGTGTGCAGCCCACCTGAGATCCTGCGGAACCCACCATAGAGTCTATGGTGTGCTCTGCAGGGTCACTTTCACACCTCTACAGGGTGTCAGGTGGGCTCTGGTGGGCTGTGCCGGGTCTATGGTGGGCTCTGCAGCAGTGAGCGGGACCGTGTTCTAGAGGTTGGTTCTTTTTTGGAGGGGGTGGCGGGGGAGTGGTTGGATGGGGCATACAAAATGTTGCTATGGGGCCCTGTGATTTCTATTTACGCCCCTGCCAGACACAGCACAAACAGGACTCAAAACCCAGGACAGGTGGCAACTCTAGTCCCATGGTGAATGTCTGAGCCCAAAGTTTTCCATTAATACAGTATTTATTAAGATTCTATTGAAAAAAAAAACCCCCCCACAAAAACAACAAATTAGTGGGAGCTACACTAGAGAAAGCTGATATGGGCCTTAAAAATATTACACTGATGTTTGGGGCACAGCATGAAATAGACTAGCTGTTATAGTTTCTAGCAGCAAATATGAGCATCTGTAGACACCATATACACCAGCTGCCAACACACTTGGGAGATGCGGGGAGCTCCAACAGGATTAATAGGTTTGACCAGGTACTGTAAACTACTGCTCACTTGAGATAAGAGTGGTGCATGCTCACAGAGTACCAACGTACATGACAATGTGCCTAACTATTTAGAAAAGGTTTTCAGGTTATTTTGTATTGCCCACATTTAGTGCCAAGCTATAGAGATTTTATTGTGGTTGTGTATAACACTGACGGTCTCATTGCTCTTGACTTTGCAGCAATGTTCATTAAATGTCAATATATACTTCTGCAATAATGCTTTAGCTATGAATTTGAAAGTCTGCAATGCCTGTGCAATACTTGTATCCTCTTTTCCATCGGCCATCCTCTTGTATAGCTTACCTCATAGGACTGCAGCTATTTATGGAATTTTCACTGAAATGCAATGGTAGGGAACAAATCAGGAACACTGCAGAATCAGCATTTAGAAAAAGAATATACTGTCAAGTACTGTACACCATGTTGTCAGTGGGTGAAAATATGAGCATTAATGCATACCGAATGGGAAACAGGAATAAATTGGTTTTCAAACCAGTTTATTCTAATGTCCTAGGTGTGGATAAGAATTTTTTTCTGTGATTACATAAGTTGCGCATTGCAGAGTGTACTTTTTGCTGTAGCCATAGTGGCTCTTTTTAAATGTGAAACATCATTGAAATAATTTGTTCAATCTGTTGGTGTATATATCAGTGACTATGGGCAGCAAGGAAAACGATCAGTATTCTCTACACCATTAATACTATTTTGCATTACAAATCTTACAAGTATCTTCTGTTTCATATCTTCCTTGTTATACCATCGTATATATATCTCTTCCATTGCTGTTCCTATGAATTGGTTTCTATCAATGCTCTTTCTAGAATAATCTGTTTGTTACAGCAGGTATACTAGAAAGCCTATTATTATAGGTTGCTCATTCCAGTAAAAATGAATACCTCTGAGCATTATTACACTATATAACCAAATGTTTGTAGACGCCTGATCATCACATCTATATAAACTTAGTGGACATCCCATTACAAATCTATGGTCATTAATACTGAGTTTCCTGCCCTCGTCCTATGGCAATACCATCCTCCAGTCTTCAGAGAAGGAGTTGCATAATAAGTTTGTGTGCTCATTCGGCCAAAAGAGCATTTGTAAGGTCAGTTACTAATAGACTAGAATCTGCGTTCAAGTTCATCCAAAACATATTCAACAGGGAGATCAGGGCTCCAAGCAGGCCACTCATTTTCCTGTACACCAAATGTGTCAAGCCATGTCTTTATGGACCTGGCTTTGCACACAATCATTCAGAAACAGAAAATTTCCGCAAACTGTTCCTACAAGGTTGGATGTCTGTGTATGGTGTATCATTAACGGTACCCTTCACTGGAAACTCCCCAACCCAATATTTGTCGTTAAATTTATTGGGGTCTTCGCGTTTCTTGAGGTCTATTACATGCAGAATCCAGTGATGTACATACAGGCTTGACAGAGGTTGCTGTTGCAACTGGGACTCTGCTCATGGGGGGGGTCTGAAGAGCACATCTAAAAAACACCCAAATGTAAGGCTGAATGTCTTTTCCTGGAAGGATGTGACCTATTGTGCAAGGTGAAAGGGGTTATAGGAGTTTATGTGCAACAGTGGTTATGAGAGTTGATAGTTTTGGGTAGATAAAGAAATAGGGTAGGCATGTTAGCTGCCTAGTTATAGTGGTTAAGAATGTTAAACAATGGGCACAATACTGAAGCTTGGAGGGGCTTGCTTTATATATCCGGGACCAGGTATGTCAAACTATGCTACTTGAAGTACATGTAAGAGCATACCATACTTTTGTGCAGAGATAATAATTATGGTTTTTGGATAATACATGGATGGGCTGAAACATTCCGGCATTTTTTTTCCAAAAGGACGTCTACATGATATGTGTATTACGTTTTCATATTTCCTGGATCTTCATTGTTAAATATCTGTTTTTATTGTTGTGACTGCCTGCCATGTCTTGAACTGCAAGGTGTGCAGTATGATAAATGTTACTCCCAGTTGAGGGGACCATCTGGTCATGTGGCCGTGCCTTTCTTTTGATGGAAGAAGTTCATAAAAAATGCATGGCACAACATTCCTATCAAATTAATTTTTCATACGCATTCTGTATTAAAAAGAGGCCTTGTATGCTCCCTTTTTATATCATTCTTCATAAATTCATTGCTGTGCTGTATGGGTATAGGCCAATGTAGTTGGATCTGTATGTGCGTTATAATCGAAATTAATCGATTTTAAAAAATTTCGATTAATCGAACACGAAGATTTTAATCATTACCAGCCCTAATATAAATATATATATTTTAAGTAAAAGAGGCCTTGTGTTTTA